CGTCGCCGCGAAGGGGGGTCAGAGGACAGGGCGTTGGGAAGCCAGAGCGAGTGGCCCACCTCCCGTTGCCCTAGGTCGGGACTCCTTTGCAAACACTCGGCAAGGGGCTCCCGGCTCTTGTTGAGGGTCACCAGAGGCGCGGCGTAGACGGACAACCCCGCGCGAGGGTAGTAGTTGCCCGGTTTTACACGTGAGCTAAACTGCGACAGGGAGAGTGTCTCTTGTGCAGTTTCAGATACTGCCGAGAGCTGGACGTGAGATGGGGGCTCTTTTGGCTACAACAGGTGGCCTTCCACGGGGGGGTCCTCACAAAACTGGCTGCTGCCCGGTGGGCTGCACACAGGAGCCTCACCACCAGCCTGCCCCATTCCCGACTTGCGCAAGAAGCGGCTGACTAAAAAACGTTTCATTATGTGTTTAAGTAGGTGAAAAAGATGTGATTTCCAGCAAATGTAAATACTGACACGTAAAATATATCCAATGGAATCTAAATACCCCTGCAAAATGATACCCTCCATCGTTCATTTAAAAAACTCCCCAAACCAAAACCCCCCACAAAACTCTTAAGCATCAGTAAGTTTATATTATTACTTTTCCTCCTTGAAGTCATATCTTCATCCCACTTTCCTAAAGAATTTTATGCCAAGGCTATAGCTTTCATGCTTGAAAGTCTTACTGATCACCCTGGTATACTTAATGGAAATTAATTTCTGTCAAGGTTATATTTTTATGCTTGAAAGTCTTATTGATCAGCCTAGTATATTTAATGGAAATTAATTTCCATTTCCTGATCGTAGAACCTTATTTTTTCTGGATGGAATTATTAAAATGATTAGTGCCGGGCTCGGTGGCTCAGCCTGTAATCCTGCGCCTTTGGGAGGCTGAGGTGAGCGGATTGCCTGAGCCCGCGGGTTCGAGACCCGCCTGGGCAGCGAGACCTCATCTCTACCATAAATCCAAAAATCCGCCAGGCATGTAGCGCATGCCTGTAATTCCGGCTACTTGGAAGGCTGAGGCGGAAGGATCGCCGGAGCCCAGCAGGTCGAGGCTGCGGTGGCTGGGAGCGGCCACTGCACTCCAGTCTGGGCGACAGAGTGAGACTCCAACTCAAAAAATAAAAAATAAATAAAAAAAAATTACTAGTACCACAAATTGATCAAAATAAACGATACCACAATATTGGTACTTATTAAATATCTAAAAAGTGGATATTGGAAATTAACCTTTTTTTCTTTTTTAATTTTAAAGGTGTGGGGTACAATTCAGGGTTAGGTATACAAATGTTCATTATGCAGGTACCCTTGTTGATGAGGTGTGCCCCTCACCCCTGGCAGTTTCTCACTACTGCCAAGCCCACCCCCTCTCCCCTGGCAGTTTCCCACTACTGCCAGTCCCTTTCTTACAGTATTATGATAATTGTTCAAGGTCTGCTTACAAATGAGACTATGTAGTACTCAGTTCTATGTTTCTGTGATAGACTACTCAATATTATAGTCTCTCAGTCTATCCAAATTGTTGCGAAGTTTATAGTTTTGTCCTTCTTTATGATTGCGTAATATTTCATCATATATAGTTCCCACACTTTTTTTTAATCCAGTCCACTTTCAATGGGCAGAACGGTTGGGTTCCATGTTTTTGCTATTGTGAATAATTCTGCAATAAACATGTGCATGCAGGTATCTTTTTCATAGAGTGATTTGAGTTCCTCCAGGTATATTCCCAGTAGATTGAGGGGTCATATGGAAGGTAGATTTTTAGATCTTTTAGGAATTGCCACACTGTCTTCCATAGATGTTGCACTAGTTTGAACTCCCACCAACAGTGTAGAATTATTCTCTTTGCCCCACATCCTCTCCACCATCTGTTGTTTTTTGAGTTATTGATGATGGCCATCTGACTGGAGTTAGGTGGTATCTCAGTGTGGCTTTAATTTGCAGGAAATTAATCTCTTAAAGACTGGATGGGCTTATTAATTCCTACATCCATAAGTGAATGTTAACTTCTTACTAAAATGGAGTTCAACACTGATTCTCTTCTCTTTTTCTTAAACAAAACAAAAAAACTGCAATCCCAGCACTTCAAGAGGATTGCCTGAGACTAGTGGTTCAAATCTGACCTGGGCAACTTGGCGGTACCTCATCTCTACAGTAAATAAAAAAATTAGACAGGTATGGTAGTACATGCCTGTAGTTCCAGCTACTTGGAAGGTTGAAGTGGAAGGATCACCTGAGTCCAGCAGGTCTAGGCTGCGGTGGCCCTGAGCATGCCACTGCACTCCAGCCTGGGTGACGCAGTGAGACTCCAACTCAAAAAAAAAAAAAAAAGCCTGTAAGGGCTGATAAATCTCATCCAAATAAGTAAACTGAAACAGAAGTTTTGTTACAAGTGTCTCAATTTTTGCCTAATCATATGTCAAGAATCATATAGGTGTCTATCACCAAAAAGGCTTTAGAATCATCAGCTGACAATTCTATTAGAGTCTCCTGAAATTTTATTAAAAACAAAACCCTACAAACCATCTTATTACCTAAAAGACTTATTATTTAGGTCTCTTTCGGTCTCTCAATAACTGTTCATAAAATTCATGTTCTCTTTGTGGTTTGGAAATGTTTACACCGATAAGATTTGAGATGACTAAGAGGTATACAATACAGCATATATGGAAGCTGGGTATCTGAAAATATCTTAAAACTATTCATTCATAGCTTTATTTTTTTTTATTTTTCTATTTTTTTAATTTTTGAGTTGGAGTCTCACTCTGTTGCCCAGACTGGAATGCAGTGGCCGCTCCCGGCCACTGCAGCCTCGACCTGCTGGGCTCCGGCGATCCTTCCGCCTCAGCCTTCCGAGTAGCCGGACTTATAGGCATGCGCTACCACGCCCGGCTAATTTTTTGATTTATTGTAGAGATGAGGTCTCGCTGCCCAGGCGGGTCTCGAACCTGCGGGCACAGACAATCCACTCACCTCAGCCTCCCAAAGGGGCGGGATTACAGGCTGAGCCACCTAGCCAGGCTCATACCAGCTTTAACTTGAAAAGTCTTCAAGAGAGTGGAGAACTAATGTTCAAAGAGCTAACCTAAGTAATTTGGGGAATTGATGTTTGACTAGAAACTGTGAGGCAGACAATAGGAAACATACATAAATTCTGGACCTTAGTTAGTAAATTTGTTTCTCCCAGGGGTATGGGTTAATATTTGGAAACTGCTTTACAAATATACTAAGGTAAACAGATAAGTGGATGGTGGAAGCTAAGTTTCTCATCATCAGGGAGAGAAACAAGGGGGAAAGCTACAATGTGCCTTATGGTATTGGATTAGTAGGAGACGTCAGTATGAACCCATGCTTAGCTTAATATACATATAGACGGAGAGATACAGAGATAGCTATAGAGATGTGAGGACAGACAGGTGAGTATACTGCCCAGCTCTGTCTTCTGAGAGGACCTAGCAGGGACACCCCAGCAGCAATGAGCATACCTGGAGGCCAGATCTTGGTTTCTAAACCAATGAAGGGAAAAAAGGCTTCTTATTGAAATGGATGATTCTGGGGCTGGGACAAAGAAAGTACAAGATGAGTTGGGACCATTTTCTTATAGTACCGGAGAGGAAGGAAGTGCTCAAAAAGGATAAGAGCATGTCAAAGGGACAGAGGAGCTGGCTTGAAACAACTCCCAATGGCAAAAGCTAGAACAATTTAAGCAAACAATTGACTTGGTATTGGATTTTCCCCCATCCCTTAATTTCTCTCTACTTGAGTATGGGCTGGGCTTAGTGATTCAATTATAGTGAACAGAACATGAGAATGGAAAATTAGAGGAGAGCCTGGCAGGCACTGCCATAACACATGATCAAGGTGAATGACACCAATAATAAGCTGTGCTGATGCTGTGTACCCCTAAAATGGTGTGATGAGATGATGAGAAGGGTGCTTTAACTTTGGGGTTTCCCCAAAACCCATAAGCCCAGTCCAATCCTGAGAAAAAAAATCAGATAAACCCAAAGTGAAGGACATTCTACAAAATACCTAAGCAGTACTAAAAAATGTCAAGGTCCTGAAAAATAAGGAAAGATTGAGGGACTGCTAGAAACAAGAGGGAACTAAAAATGACTATGTATCTAAGTATAAATAAAGTGTCTGAGTGGGGTGAGGGTCTATACCACAGTTCTTGTGTGTTGATTAAAAAAAAAACCTGTTAAATCTTTAAAAGATGTATATGTTCCAGATTTCAGCAGATGCCTGTAAATGACCCTACTGTATTTCCTCCCATTCTTTACTGTTCCCTATATGGGTCAGACTTATGTCTCTGTGAGACCTGCTGGGAGAAGCCTGTTGCTTCTTTAGTAAAATATTCTCACCTCACTAAAGGATCATAGTATTAAATGAGGTCAACACTTGACAGGACCCAGCCCATGTGGGCCGTGCCATGTGTCCCGATTCCACATCACTCCCTGGTTTCTGACACCGTTCTACTATTTCTGGCTTTACTCCTTTCTCATCTAGAGAACTGCAAACTTCTGGCAAGATCTTCAGCCCACGCCACTCTTCCCATGGCTGATCCTCCAACCAGGGCACTTAGGTGCATACTGTGAGAGACTATTTAAGGACAGCTGGTGGTGGGTGAGGATCACTGGAGACGGTCTTCAAACTACCTAGAACTAGGTCTCAATGAAGAACTGCACACATTATTATGTTATAATTAAATATATTTAGATCCTCAAAACTTTAGGAGATGTAAAAAGAGTTGCATAATAACACAAATCACAATGTGAATAATAACACAAAGGCTTTTAATATACTAGATGCTTCATTAAAAAAAAAACAAGTTTTAGGCTGTGCATGGTGGCTCACCCTATAATCCCAGTACTTTGGGAGGCAGAGGCAAGAGGAATACTTGAGCCCAAGAATTTGAGACCAGCTTGGGCGACTTGGTGAGACCTCACTTCTACAATAAATCGAAAAAAATTAGCCAGGTGTGGTGATATGTGCCTGTGGTTCCAGCTACTTGGAAGGTTGAGGTGGCAGAATTGCCTGAGCCCAGCAGGTCAAGGCTGCAGTAGGCGTGAGTAATCCACCACACTCCAACCTGGACAACAGAGTAAGAGTCAGACTCAAAAAATAAAAATAAGTAAGTTTTAGAAATAGTGAAAGAAGTGATCTTCATTCAGCACCCCTGAGATAGACATTATCATCCTCATTTCATGGGTGAGGAAATTGGGGCTTGGAGAGGTTAAGTAATCTCCCACAATCACACAACTAGTTAGCGGAGAGCCAGCATCCAATTTCTGTTAACTAGACTGCAAAGCCCAAAGCTCTTATCTATTTCTCTACACTTCTTTCTGGAGTTCAAAAACTCACAGGAGTTCTAGATTTTTCAAACTCTGTGACACTAATCAGGAACAATTTTAAATATTAACAGTTTCATCCTCTTCATTCTGTTTCCAAAGAAAAATATACATCCCATGAATAGTTACTCCAACACGAATTCCTGATTCGAAGCATGTCCTCAGTGTGCCTCTGGGAACATTTCCCCAGGCATTATCCATCGGACATGCCTTGCCACCCAGCTCGCTTCTTCAGTTCTGACACCCAATCGGGGCTGTCGTCGTCTTCCTCGAAGTCCCTGTGAAAAAACAATTTGGAAGATAAGCTTCTATATTAGGGGTACAGTGAGTATTTGTTGATGGATTCAAAGCAGAACTCCACCAGAACAATATTTAAGTTTTTGAAAAACAAGTTTCATAAGGCAACTGAACTGAGAAAAAATTGTTAGTTATTCTAAAAAATCACTTCTTTCACTGTTTCTAAAACTTACTTATTTTTATTTTTTGAGTCAGAATCTTACTCTGTTGCCCAGGCTGGAGTGTGGTGGTATATTCACAGCTACTGCAGTCTTAACCTGATGGGCTTAGGCAATCCTGCCACCTCAGCCTTCCCAGTAGCTGGAACCACAGGCACGTATCACCACACTTGGCTAATTTTTTTTGATTTACTGTAGAGATGAGGTCTTACCAAGTCACCCAAGCTGGTCTCAAATTCTTGGGCTCAAGTATTCCTCTTGCCTCTGCCTCCCAAAGTACTGGGATTGTAGGGTGAGCCACCATGCGGAGCCTAAAACTTTTCTTTTTAATGTAGCATCTAATATATTAAAAACTAACAAGTCCAAGTTAAAGGGTTATAAGGGTAGGGCTCAGTCATGTATTCTGTAATAATATTGTAAGGCATTACCCATCCCAGGCAAAAGATCAAGATACAAATATTCATTTATAATGAAAAGTAATATAACAAGCTCCCAGTAATTTAAATCACACATGCACACACAACAACTAAAGCTTTCTAGGTATATCACAACATACGTGTCATCCTCGTCCAGCTCAGGCTCGAGTCGCTCTGGGTCCAAAATGACAGAATCGTGACCTCCATCGACATTGTCTGATGCTTCTGTTTCTTCACACAGGGGGCCTTTCAAGAATCCTTCTGAGCCTTCAGGGGAATGTTAACAGAAAGTATGCCAATTTAAACAGTATGTACTTATTTTATGCAGTTCGACTAAAATCCTCCACAAGATTGTTGCTGATTGAGAACAATGGCAAGTTCCAGATTTACTTTGTAGTGTCTCCCCATATTACACACCATGATTTCTGGGATAAGTCCAGAAGCACTGATATGTGGATTAAATTTAAAAGCAAGGCCAAGGTGGGAGGATCACTTGAGGCCAGGAATTCCAGAACAGCCTGGGCAACAAACACAGTGAGATCCTGTCTCTACAAAAAAGTTTTAAAAATTAGCTGGGTATGGTGGCATACACCTGTAGTCCTAGCAACTCAGGGGGCTGAGGTGGGAGGATAGCTTGAGCCCAGGAGTTTGAGATTACAGTGAGCTATGATCACACCGCTGCACTCTAGCTTGAGTGACACAGTGAGATCCTGACTCTAAAAAAGTAAAAAACAAAACAAAACAACCAAAACCCCAAAGAGTGCTTTCTTACAGAGGGGGGAAAAAAAACCTCCAAAAATTACATTAAAAACCTTCAAATATAAGAACCTATATTAAGGAATTGAAAGTTTTCTGTGGAAGCTGGATTACAGTTGTTTTTCCTTTGCGTTTTCCCCTCCCAGGTTTTCACAGTGGAGGGGGAAAAAAATGTAAGGAATTGAAGGAAGACTACAAGCATGCTTTTAAAAAATTTTCCAGGCAGTAATTACTTTTAGATTTTTTTTGCTTACAGAATACAAATCTAACATAAAAATGAGGGTTAAATCTTATAAAAGTATTTTAAAGTAGAACTATAATATATATTTTGTAAACAGGGACTTTCCTAAAATAACAAATATTTCATCATTGGACCAGAAACAAAATCTAGGACCTATAACTGCTAAATCAAAATTCACAACTATGAGCTTTCCTTAACATCCTCCAAAGCATCAACCTCTCCTTGGAGCTCCCATGCTGTTCTACGCACAGCTCTATCAAAATGCACACACCACGGAGCGCTACAATACTCCATCTGTGTGCTGGGCTCCCAGATAATGAACTCCTCTGTCCTTAGAGCAGGGACTGTGTTTCATTCTTTTTTCATCTTAACCTATGCTAGGCACTCAGTGAGTATTGACCAAATAAACAAATACAACTAAATCTGTTACAATAAATATAGTCAAGACATACCATACCATGACCTGCTCTACTTGGTATAATTTACCTTAGATTTTAATCCACAAGGTGGCTTAGTAATGGAATGATCAAAATTATACACATGTGCTCATCCTAAATGCAGTCCATTGGCCTAGATTCCGAGTCTTATAAAAGGTTATCTTACACAATTTTAGTAAAAATGTCTGTAGAAAAAAATCAAATCCTAATTATTCATCCTTTTTTGAGCTCTATTCAATATAATAGAATTCAAGTATGCAGCAAAGGAAATCTTCAAGTTGTTACTAAAGCAATGGCATATTTGCATGGTGCATAAAGGCAACTCTTCAAAGAAAGTAGTAGCACGATTATTTGCTTATTAAAATAAGCAAACAAATGAGCAAAGGGAAGTAATGTAGCTCTGTGAAAAGTTTTAACTATAGAGTCAGACTGGCTAGAAAAGATGCAAAATCACAGGAAAATACAATGCAATGAATTATTTTATAACTTTAAAATCAAAGGGTTTCCAGAAGGGGAAATTAGGGAGTTATTATTTAATGGGTACAGAGTTTCCATTTTGGAGGACAAGAAAAGTTCTGTGGATGGATGGTGGTGATGGCTGCAACGTGAATGTACTTAATGCCACTGAAGTGTACACTTAAAAAATGGTTAAAGTAATAAATATTATGCATATTTGCCACAATTTAAAAGAAGTCAGAGGTTACATAACATTGTTACATAACAGACATGAATTACCTGGTCTGTATATTGTGTATGTTTGGAATGCCAAGCTGAGATCAGCATTCTTAAGGATGTTCAACAGGGTGTCTGGGGTTTCCCTGAGCCATTGCTTACGAGTAGAACTGTCACTGTACTTTATTACAGAGCCTCCTGGTTGTGAAAAGACAAAAGTCAGTGCCAAATAAAAAAGAGAATTTTTCAGCAGCTATCTTCCAGATCATATTTCAAGCAAAGTTAATTATATCTGACTCTCAACTAAAGTCTATTTCACTCACCTGTGTGAGCAAAGCTCTGGTGTGTGACACCAAATATCCTTCAGAGAGTGACATTAAAAAAAAAACCAATAGCATATTGAATAAATATAAAAATGTCCTATAATAAAGTAACAGCATTCAATTTGACTGCTAACCTTTATCAGCCTCTGCCGTTAAACTGGAGGTGAGTACAGATGCATTCTCCAAAGCTCTAAGAGTTGTGTTGGATACATTTTTCTCCCACTGTCGCCTGTGAGGACTTGGTGAACTGGCTTTTCTCAGATGGACTGATTTATTACCTGATTTTAAAGTGTAAAAAGGAATGCTAAGCATATTATTATTATTATTATTATTATTTTTGTACAGATAGGGTCTTGCTATGTTGCCCAGATTGGTCTCATATCTTGGCTCAATCAATCCTCCCATCTTGGCCTCCCAAAGTGCTGGGATTATAGGTGTGAGCCACCACGCCTAGCTGATATTATTTCATTTATTCATCTATATCCACACATATACTCTAACAATGATATGGAAGTATTTATTTTCTCTTTCAAACTTAAGCCTAGCAACAATGTTCTTCAAGTCTAAGTAGCAAAGGAAACAACAACAAAAAATCCAAAATGACAAGGTAAAGCAAATAATTAATATGACTTAATTCTTAAATAAATAATGTATACAGTTACATATTACACACTGTACAAGAATGAAGCCCCAAGAGAACTTACATATACACTGTATGTATGGTGGCCAGTACAACAAATAATACCTTTCCTAATGGCTCTTACCAATAAATATTATTCTCTCTTTGTTTATGGATTAAAATATTCCTGTAACATTAAATAAACTACTGGGTAAGCAAGCAGGTATGTGCCTGAAATTGCTCATGGCACCTAAGACCTAATAAAGTGATATTCCTCCTATATTCCGCAACTCCCACATAATAAATGATTAGAATCTGAGCAACTTACCTTTTTCTTCTCGGTTAACTCTTCCCAATGCATTTTTAACACTGCTTTCTAAATCACTATGGCTATATTTTCTACCTTGTTCTTCCACTGGCTTTAAAAGAGATGAAAATATAGATTAAGTAATGCTTGAATTGCTACAAAAAAGATAAACAAACATGGAAATCAGCTACTTTAATTTTAAATAAAAATTAGTGAATTAAAAAAAATACTCACAGAACCCCAAATATTAATAGCCACATACATCATATATGCATGTATATTAATGATCATACCATACATACATATGTGTATATTAACAGCCATAAACCTACACATATTATATTAATAGCCATATACATAATTATAAATGTAAAGAGGATATATAAGAATGAAAGATTTTAAGGAAAACAGTAATGAAAAATTTCTATATGGTTTGCGTTATTGGGCTTTTCATGCAGTACTATCAAAATAAGATGTTTTACTGAATGTGATAATTAGCTGTTTACTTCTGGTGCGTTTTCCTTACGCTTTATTATATAAAATAAAATGATTTTTATATATATCTTGTCCCAAATAAATATCATTTGGTTAAATAAAACATGATACTGTGTTTATATAGTTATTTAGGTAAGTCCACTTTCAAATTAGTCTAACAAAGAACAGGCTCACTTTTTAAGATTTGGCCTCTCATCTGTAGACTTCATTTAGTTGTATTTATACTGAGTTAAGGTTTTTCTAAAGAAAAGTGTATTTTTACACTACAACTATGGACATAGCAATTAAAAAATATCTTTAACGAAGGCAAACCTCTTAGAATATGCTTCAAGTTTTTAATAAATTGTATCTTCAGTTAAAAAAAAAAAAAAAAGATGTTTTATAAAGTTGCTATATATGGCCAAAATGTTCTCACTTAGTTCAGTGTTTTTACAAATAATCTATAAGCCCTTGATTTATTTCATGAAGTACGTAACACACAAGCTAATCTTTACTAAGTCTGCACATATTTTGAGAAGGAGTACAGATTCAGCGCCTAGACAGTTCTAGTCACACAGGTTCTCAATTATTTGCTGACAGTCTCAATAACCAGTAGGTCTGGGCTGCCATGTTGAGTTTTCTTATTTCCATGCAGAGGTTCTCAAACTTCTCTTGCCACACATGTAGGAAATGCAAACGTCTCTATCACTTAACAGTTTATGAACAATAATATCACGATAGCAGTGATTTCAAAGCTCTCCCCTCCCATAAAGGTATCACAATCTGGACTGGTGATAGGTACAGTTGTGAAAAGCCCCTTGAGAATTCCAGTCTTTTGTTCCCACTGAGATAACTGTCTCTCCTGCAGTGACCTCTAACCTCCCTCTGGGCACCACTCACCCCTGCCTTCCTTGCCACTGTAAACTGCTGACCCACACATGACCCTTTTCCTGCCTCAAGTCCTCCATTACCTGATTGACTTTTTGGCCTTTTCTCCATTCTTTTTACATATTGCACCCTTTTCATTCTGCAGACACATATTGCTGTGTCCATTACAGGCGGTATTCAAATTACAGTGGTGGCTGCCTGGGGCAGGGTTCAGGATCCTCAGCAAAAGGTCACCAGGTCACTTTTTAGGGGGTCGGGATGTCTATATTTTGATTGTGGTGGGGGCCATATGACTGCATAAATACGATTACCAAAACTCATCAAACTGTTAGCTAAGAAAGGGTAAATTTTATTACAAATAAATTATACCTCAATAAAGCTGGGAAAATACCCAGATATTATCATGGGAAAAAAGTACAAAGGCAAGATATATTCTACCTGTAGCAACATAATGGTGGGATGTTGTTACTTATTTATAACCTAGGGTTCTTTAAAAAAATTTACAAGCTTAATTACTAGTACATTTCATGAATAGAATAATCTATTGACAGTACAAAATCTTTTCCTTTTTGCATTAAAAGGTTAATTAAAATACTGAAGATCAGCCTAGGCAACACAGCAAGACATCATCTCTACAAAAAATAAAAAAAATTAGCTGGGTGTGGTGGCGTGTGCCTGTAGGCCCCCCTATTCAGGAGGCTGAAATGGAAGGATCGTCTGAGACCAGAAGGTGGAGGCTGTGGTGAGCCATAGTCATGCTGCTGCACTCCAGCCTGAGCAACTGAGTGAGACCCTGACTCAAACAATATATAAGTTAAAGAAAAAAAATCATCAGTAGTACATGATTTGCAAAGCTGGGGGTGAAAACACTGGAAAGCAGATTGGCTACGACTATTCACGACTCAATCGTGGCTTCAGTGTAAAAGAGCATCACAGCAGCCAGGGCTGGACAAGACGAACAGGACCCTGAATGCCAGGCTGGAAAACGACTCATGGGATAACCGGGTGGTGCTACACATTTTTGCACAGAAAGATGTCAAGGTCAAAACAATCATCTAAGTGTTATTCAGCTACAAAAAGGAATAAAGTTCTGACAAATGCTATGACCCAGAGGAACCCTGAGAACATTATGTAAGTGAAAGAAGCCAGGCACAGAAAGGACAAATATTGTATGACCCTACTTATATGAAACATCTAGAATAGGCAGATTTATAGAGACAGAAAGCAGGCTAGAGATTGCTGGGGTTGGGGTGGTGGAAATGGGAATCACTGTTTCAGTATAGAGTTTTTGTGTGGGGTGATACAGAGGTCTGGAAATAAAAAGTAGTGACTTCTGCATAATATTATGAATATAGTTAATGTCACTGAATTACACACTTAAAATGGCCAAAATAACAAATTTTATATTGTAATATTTTACCACAATAAAAAGCAAAAAGCCAAGTATAAACAAGATCTCATAATAGAAAGCAGGACAAAGCTCTCTGACATCTGCACTGAAACCACTATCATCAATAATTGAAAAAGGAGCCAGGTATGGTGGCTCACACCTGTAATATCAGCACTTGGGAAGCCAAGGCAGGAACACTGATGAGCCCAGGAGTTTGAGAACAGTCTAGGCAACATAGTGAGATCTTGTATCTACAAAAAAATGCAAAAATTAGCTGGGTGCGGTGGTATGAGCCTGTAGTCCCAACTACTTGGGAGGATGAGGTGGGAGGATTGCCTGAGCCCAGGAGGTGGAGGCTATGGTGAGCCAGGTTGGAACCACTCTACTCCAGTCTGGGTGACAGAGTAACCCTGTCTCAAATAATAAATGCATAAATGAACAAATAAATAAATAAAATGAAAAAGTCAACACAATACTTGGTGATCTAAAGTGACTCAGCTGGCAATGCCGACAACAGCTCCCAATTACTCACAGGCCAAAAGATGGAGAACTACTTAACTGGAGAGACCAGGACACAGTCTTCCAAATATCTCACCATATTTAACAGTAAGGTGTACCCAGCGGCAGATGGGTATTTCATAAATTTAATTTTAAAGCACTTACCACCATGTTTGCTTCATTTCCCAAAGTTATCTTGATCCTGCTGGGATCTGCTTAAAAAAACAGAGAGAAAAGGTAGAAAAAATACCATATAAACACTCAACTTATTCAGTTCCTTGTGTGCTGTGCATAAAGCCTGAGATACAAGTAAAGTTTTTGAAATCAAAGAGTCAAAGTTCTTAGACAGTTGAATAGAAATATCAAGCTTTAAGTGCCTAGTAATCCATCTCGGTTGTTGAAAGAGGCTACTATTTTACTTTATGTTTTTTGAGTCGAGATCTCACTCTGTTGCCCAGTGAAGTGCAGTGGTACCATCATGCTCACTACAGCCTTGACCTCCTGGGCTCAGGCAATTCTTTCACCTCAGCCTCCTGTGTAGCTGGGTCTACCAGCGCACACCACCATGCCCGGCTAATTTTTACATTTTTTTTATAGCGATGAAATCTTGTCATGTTGCCCAGGTTGCTCCTGAACTCCTGGGCTCAAGCAATCCTCTTGCCTCAGCCTTCCAAAGTGCTGGGATTATAGGCATGAGCCACTGCACCTGACCAAAAGAGGGTACTTCTGATATTTTTTTTCTAATGTAAAAATCTGAAAGTTAAAAGACATCTCTATTCACTTATGCCAACATATTTAAGCACTAAGAAGTAATATACTCTATATACTTGAAGGTCATGATCCCCTGTAGAGCGCGCTAGGTAGTGGAGTCTGTGCTTGTCCTGACAATTATCATAACAGGTGGAACAGGGTAACAAGAAGAGAGCTGCTTATTCATTCACAAGGGACTAGGGGGGTCAGGGGCTAACTCTGGCAACGGATCCCTTTGGTAGAGATGGCTCCAGCCCTCATCTTTCTCTGTCAGAGTCCAGTAGTTCATGTCCCTTACTCACTTAACATTTTTTAAAATTGCTATTGAATATCTACGATGGCAGGCACTAAGAACACAAGAGTGAGTCAGTGGGATGCAATCCTTGCCTAAGTGTTCCATTTCTTGTTCTAGTAATTTTCAAACTACCTCGAAACTTTTATCCATCCATTTTTTCTTGCTTAGCATTTTAAAACTAATTTCCTACTACCCTGGAATGTGAACAAAAGCTACAAAATAGTACCTGAGTTAAAATCAACACTCAATTAAACACTAAGCAAAACTGATGAAACAAAGGTTACTGACCACCGCTTATGAAAGAGAAAAAAGTTTGAATTGTAAGACTAAAGGGTTTTACATCCTTCCAAAAACAACACTTACTCGTTACCTTTAAGAAAACAGTACAGTTATCAAAATGTTTCTTTCATGGTATAACCCAGATGAAGAGCACCAGCCAATGGGGGTTTTGCAACATGTCACAAGAGAGGGTGACCTCCACTTCCTAACTCTTCTCCCTTATTCTGTTGATATCTAATGCCTTTGTAAGACTTTTTCAGAAGGGAGTCATTGATAACAAATGAAAAGGAATAAAAATAGCTTTGAAGAAAATTCAGAGATGACAACTTTCAAAGACACAATAAATTTAAAATGTGCTCAGGAGAGACTATACGTGTATGAAAATTTTATGCAGCTATTGTGTGGATGGTCCCCAACTTCTGAAAAGGCTCTGATTTGTGTTTGTTTTTTAATTGACAGACTTTATTTTTTAGAGCAGTTTTGGATTCACAGTAAAACTGGGCAGAAAGTACAGAGATTTCCACATACTCGGTCTCCCCACACACTCCTCCCCCCCTACTACCAATACCCTACACCATTACAGTCCATGAATCTATACTTGACACATCACTGTCACCCAAAGCCCACAGTTCACATTAAAAAGGCTCTGTTTTTTAAGTTTGTTTACACAATGGTTCTTCAGAAACGTGAGAATATATTTTCCTATAAAATTAGTACTATATTTTCATGGCTAGATTCCTAGGACAGACCCATGGAAGTCTTCTAACTGACCCACAAGTCAGGATAAATAGGGTACTAATAATGAAACAGAGAACACATTCCAGCACTAAAATAGTCAAACTAGGCTTTTTTCTTAAACCCTATTTTTCTAGGGATTAAAAAGGGCAGTTTAAGACTCAGGCTGGGTACGGTGGCTCATTCCTATAATCCCAGCTCTTTGGGAGGTAGAGGTGAGAGATCTGCCTGAGCCCAGGGTTTCCAGACCAGCCTGAGCAACTTGGCGAGACCTTATCTCTACAATAAATTAAAAAAATTAGCTGGCTGTGGTGGCATGTTCCTGTAGCTCCAGGTACTTGGAAGGCTAAGCCACAAGGATCACCTGAGACCAGGTCAAGGCTGCAGTAGCCATGAGTGTACCACTGTACTCCAGCCTGGGTGACAGATTGAGACTACCACTCAAAAATAAAAAAAATAAAAATAAAATAAAAGATTCAGTACTGGCTGGGTGTGGTGGCTCATGCTTGTAATCCAAAGCATGATTTGGGAAGCCAAGGCAAAAAGATTACTTGAGCCCCGGAGTTCAAGACCAGCCTGGGCAACATAGTGAGACCTTGTTCGTACCAAAAAATTCAAAAAACGGGCTGAGCATAGTGATACTGAGGCTGAGGCAGAAAGGTCACCTAAACCCAGGAGGTTGAGGCTGCAGTAGCCATGAGGGTGCAACTGCATTCCAGCCTGGTGATAAAGTGAGACCCTGACTCAAAAAAAAAAAAAAAAAGATTCAGTACAGAATTATGTCTGAAGTAATAAAAGAACATTTTGATTTGAGGATTTTCTCTGATAATCATTTCTAGCAACTTAAAAATTATACTTTCTTGTTATACTATAACAAAAAATAAGCTTTCCAAAATTCTTACCCTTTTTGCTTGTTGTATTATGCTTAGATTTTTTGGTTTCTTCTAATACCTGTTCACCATACTCTGTGATAATCTGAAATTTAAAGTTGATAATTTTAAGATGTAAAATACACTTTTCTTTAAACACTGCCATATGTCATTTCACCACCAACATTCTTCAGGACAATATTTAAAGCTGAAAAAATTTATAAAAATGCCATTTGAAAACTACATATAAGCTGAGCAGGGTGGCTTATACCTACAATTCCAGTACTTTGGGAGGTTGAGGTGGGAGGATCACTTGAGGCCAACAGTTTGAGACCAGCCTGGGCAACATGGTAAGACCCCACCTCTATAAAAATGTTTTGTGTTTTAGGTTACCAGGGATGGTGGTTTACATGGATGGTTCTGCATCGTTTGAATTTTTACAAGCATGTATATAATGTAACTGTGTCTAAACGTGGCAAACCATTTTATCATACACTGGAGAACAAGGTGGATCATACCTTGGGGGATAAGCACTTTTGGACAAGCTGAGCGACCCGGCCTCGAGAGAGCAGTGTTGTGGCGGAGGGGCGGTGTGAAGGATTCCTTTTAAACATCTGCTTGATAAGATACTGAAGCTCGTAGGAGTAATGAGACGGCAGTGGGCTGATGGACCCTTGACATATTTTGAGGATAAGATTTTTCCAACTATTTGCTTGAAACTGAAATGTAAAAACTGAAACTTAAAAGCAGACACGGAGGGGGTGTGTGCAGTGGAAATCAAAGTAAGAAACTACCAGCTGAACTGAATTCATATAAATTATTTTAATTTTATAAAGGTATCTACTGTCTGGCCATTTTTCTTTCTAGAGGTGTCTTCAGGGTAATATTCTATAATCTCATGGTGGTTCAGGAGAAAGGTAAACATGAATAGTAAAGAAACTAAAACTGTTCACAGCCATCTAAAGTCTTTCCGTTAGTGCCAGCTTTGGGCACTTTATCAGTCAATATCAATGGTTTTTGCAGATACACATTGCTAATACTAACAGGCTTGTAATCAGTGTAATACCCTTTGCTTCACTCCCCTCAACTTTGGCTTTTTAACCATTATACCAATGAGAACGACTTTTGCCTTCAAGCAGACAAGGAATGACAGATCACGGTCTTCCCTCTCTCCCTCCCCCTCTGCCTCTTCCTCCTCTTTCTCCTCCTTCGAGTCTTACTCAGGCTGGAGTGTGGTGACATGCTCACAACCGTCATATCCTCCTCCTGCTGGGTGCAGGCAATCCTTCCACCTCAGCCTTCCAAGTAGCTGGAACCACAGGCATGCGCCAGTATACCTGGCTAATTTTTTGATTTATTGCAGAGACGAATTCTCACCAAGTTGCCCAGGCTAGTCTCCAACCCCTGGGCTCAGGCAATCCACTTGCCTCCGCCTCTCCAAATTGCTGAGATTACAGGCACAAGCAATTGCACCCAGCATCTAATACTTATTCTTGCTAGGAAAAATGACTTGTATATGTAAGTTATGAAAAAGATAAAATCAGGGAAGTAAAGAATATCATCATAAATAAGATGCTAGAATTTTAAAAATAATTTTATGTGTAGACAATGATGGTTCACAACTTGGGCTGCGTATCAGAATAATCTATTTTAAAAACATTAATGGCTAGGTAATCCCAGCACTTTGGGAGGCCAAGGCGGGAGGACTGCTTGAGCCCAAAGAGTTTGAGACCATCCTAGGCAACATAGTAAGACCTCATCTCTCCAAAAAAGGTAGCTGGGTGTGGTGGTACACGCCTGTATTTCTAGCTACTTGTGTGAGATCAGGAGGTCAAGGCTATGGTTAGCTGTGATCATGCCACTGCACTCCAGCCTAGGTGATGTGAGAGAGAGACAGAGAGAGAGAGAGAGAGACAGAGAGAGAGAGAGAGAGAGAGAGAGAGAGAGAACTTTAATGCCAGGACATCTTCAGAGATTTCAATTCAATTCAATTGGTTTGGTATGGGCCTAGGCATTTTTAAAGGTTCCCCAAGTTATTCTAACTGTGCAACCAGCACTATAAGCCACTTATATTCAAGGAAAATAATCTCCCATGAACAGCATGTGCCTTTAGTTTGAGTTACTTTCCTCAAGTGTTGGTAAAAAAATTTTCTCAATCACTCATTCTCTCCCAAGCTCTATGTATCCTATAAGTATATCTGTTAAAAGCTTGGAAGGGCTAAGTTTCAGTCTGTCCCAAAGAACAGAATTTATTCCAAGGCAAAGCTAAGAACTAATAGGAATCTGTCCTAAGATTATTGTTCTATGTAATAAACTAATTTTGAACAAGCAGGACAAGTTATTTAACCTCTTTTTTGTTCATTTATCTTAAAAAGTATCTTGAAAAGATACATTATAGGGCAAAGTGCATGTTCTCATAATATTCGGTTAGAGAGGAAACTCACATAATAAGTGAAATCTAACTTCAAAAAGATGAGTATAAAAATGGAGCAGCCACTCTGGGAAACAGTTTGGTGTTTCCTCAAAGAGCTAACTATAATTGCCATATGACCCAGCAAATTCGCTCTTAGGTATATATCCTAAAAACTGGAATCAGGGACTCTAACAGATACTCGTACGACCATGTTGATAGCAGCATTATTCACAACAGCAAAAAGATAGAGACAACACAAGTGTCCACTGGCAGATGAATGGATACAAAAAACTCGGCATACATATGCAATGGAATATTATTCAGCCATAAAAAGGAATGGAATCCTGACACATGCTACAACACGCATGGATCTTGAAAACATTATGCTAAGTGAATTAAATCAGACACAAAAGGACAAATATTGTATAATTCCATTTATGTGAAATATCTAGAATATGCAAATTCACAGAGACAGGAAGTAGAACAGAGGTTATTAAGGGGCTGGGAGGGGAGGAAGAAAAGGGAGTGAGACAGGAACAGAGTTTCTGTTTGGGGTGATGAGAAGTTTTACAAATCAAACTTTTTCTTTTTGACAGTTGTCCAACACTGTGAATGTAATTAATGCCACTGAATTATACACTTAAAAATGACTAACATGTCAAGTTTTGTGTTGCATATGGTTTACCAGGAAACAGCAAAACAAAGACATGAGAGAGAGAGAGAGAGAGAGAGAGAGAGAGAGAGAGAGAGAGAGAGAGAGAGAAGGACAGCATAGCAGAAATGAAATAACGGAAATTTCCTATGAGCATATGCTACACAATGAGTTTAAGGCAAAGATGATGGCAATGAAACAAATGAAAACTTTTATAATGATGTCATCCTAGGGAAACAAACTGTCAACTGGAATCTGGCACATTACTTAGGGCTTAGCCAGACAGGACAAGCTGTGTTTTCAATTTTGCACACCATACTTACCGGATGCTTAAGAGTGCAGAGTTCATACAGAATGCATCCCAAGGACCAGATGTCACTGGCAGCATCAAGAAGCAAAGCAATAACAAGTGGGTTATAAGTTATCACATGTAATTATATGCATTTCCTAATATAAAAATTATCCTACTTTAATAAGAACAGACATCACAAGTAGCCCTAAGTCTGGCCTAACACTTAGATACTTACTGAGAATAACGTTCACAATAAAACTTTCTATCCCCCTGCCCTCGACCCTCCAAATCACTATCACTTCAGTAGCATTTGGAAATTCAGTAGCAAGAGGGAGTATTTGAAGACTCAGATGATCATAGTTGGAAGAAGGACTCTGGATGACATCTAGCGCAGCTTTCACTCAGGCTGCCCTGATCACATTTCTTGATAGACAGCTCTCCACCCCAGGCACAATCTACTCCCCTGTCGGATGCTCTAAGGGATAGCGTTCTTCCTTATCAAAAGCCAAAATGTATCTCTGGGAATCCTCTCCACCCCCAGAGTTAGTTCTATGTTCCAAAACAAAAAGAACAAAACTACTCATTCTTCCACAAAATAGCTCTTCAAATTCCCAAGAGTTTTATAGTTGGCCCTATGATGTATACTCCATCAAGCTAAGCAACTCCAGTTTCCACCATCATTCTTACCACCTATCTGTCTTTCTCCAGAGTTTTTTTCGAGTTAGAGTCTCACTCTGTTGCCCAGGCTGGAGTGCAGTGGCCGCTCCCGGCCATCGCAGCCTCGACCTGCTGGGCTCTGGCGATCCTTCCGCCTCAGCCTTCCGCGTAGCTGGAACTACAGGTGCGCGCTTCCACGCCTGGCTAATTTTTTTTTTTTTGAGTTGGAGTCTCACTCGGTCGCCCAGACTGGAGTGCAGTGGCCGCTCCCGGCCACCGCAGCCTCGACCTGCGGGGCTCCGGCGATCCTTCCGCCTCCGCCTTCCAAGTGGCTGGAACTACAGGCACGTGCTACCATGCCCAGCTAATTTTTGATTTATTGTAGGGACGAGGTCTTGCCAAGTTCCCCAGGCGGGTCTCGAACCAGGTGGGTCTAGAACCCGCGGGCTCAGGCAATCCACTCGCCTTGGCCACCCAAAGTGCTGGGATTACAGGCTGAGTCACCAACCCCGGCTGAGTTTTCTTTTTTTTTTTTGAGTTGGAGTCTCACTCTGCCGCCCAGACTGGAGTGCAGTGGCCGCTCCCGGCCACCGCAGCCTCGACCTGCTGGGCTCCGGCGATCCTTCCGCCTCAGCCTTCCGAGTAGCCGGAATTACAGGCATGCGCTGCGATGCCCGGCTGATTTTTTTTTTTGATTTATTGTAGAGATGAGGTCTCGCTGCCCAGGCGGGTCTCGAACCCGCGGGCTCAGGCAATCCCCTCACCTCAGCCTCCCAAAGGCGCGGGATTACAGGCTGAGCCACCGAGCCCGGTTGAGTTTTCTTTTTTTAAGAGATGGGGTCTTGCTATTTGCCTAGGCGGAAGTGCAGTGGCTATTCACAGGCACAATCATTAGGCACCACAGCCTCAAACTCCTGAGCTCAGCAATCTCCCTTCTGGGAGTGACTCCTGAGTAGCAGGACTATAGGCCCACATCACGGCGTCTGGCTCTTCCTTTTCTAAATGATTCTTTTTTAAACAGTGGTTTTTATTGGATGTTTCCCTCTCCCAACTTTTAATTTTTAAAATTTCAAATCTATAGAAAAGTTTTAAATGCCCACATGCTCTTACCCAGGTCCCCAATCATTAGCATTGGCCACAATTATGTGCTATCTCCCTCATTTATATATATCTGAGCCTCTGATGAAAAGGTTGCAGATACCAAACACTTTACCCTATACACGTCAGCATGTATCTCCTAAGAGCAAAGATATATACTCTTCCTTATAAACATAATGCTATGATCACATTCAAGAAATGTAACCTTAACTCAGTAATATTATTAAATATTTACTCCATGTTCAAATTTCTGTAATTGTCCCATTAAGTCCCTTTAGAACTGTTTTGTCTCCAGCTCAGTGAATTCTACTCTTAAAGGAACCTATTTAGTATAGACTGTCATATCCTTTGCAAAAAAGCAAGTCAGCAGAAAGTAACAAGGGCCCTTGGGTGTTTCCACTTCTAGGAATCCATGTTATAACGTGGTATAAAACAATGACATATTTATGCACAAAAAGTATGTTAATCACAGCACTGTTTGAAAATGGGAAACGGACGGTCAACCAACAGAGAAATAATCATGAAAATTTTGGAAGAGCCATTTGGTAAAATATATGCAGCCATTAGAAATATTTATGAAGCGTTTAAGTATGTGGGGGAGATGAATATGATATAATATAAGGTGAAATAAGAAGAATACCAAATTGCATATAGAATATATCAACTAGTCGGGCTCTGTGGCTCAGCCTGTAATCCCGCGCCTTTGGGAGGCTGAGGTGAATGAATTGCCTGAGCCCGCGGCTTCGAGACCCGCCCGGGCAACTTGGGAGACCTCATCTCTACATTAAATCAAAAAATTAGCCGGGCGTGGTAGCGCGCGCCTGTAGTTCCAGCTACTCAGAAGGTTGAGGCGGAAGGATCGCCGGAGCCCAGCAGGTCGAGGCTGCGGTGGCTGGGAGCGGCCACTGCACTCCAGTCTGGGCTACAGTGTAAGATTCTAACTCAAATTAAAAAAAAAAAAAAAGAATGTATCAACTGAAAAAGTGAATGGATGAAAAAAGAAAAAGATCCAAATGTTACCAGTCATTGTGAAAAGTGGGTGATTTCCATTTCCTTTCTTATGCATCTCTCTATTTCCAATTCTCCCTGCCCCCCATCTCCACAATGGGCACATATGAGAATATTCAGAAAATATTACATTTTAAATCATAAGGTCCTCATACTAACTTCCTGCATCAATTAACTTATCAACCAAGTGCTTATGATCCAGCCATGTAAATGTTAACTCAGTGACATAACCTATCAGTTCCCAAATGCTACTGTGCATTAGAATCACCTGGTGGTCTAGAAAAATAACTGATGCCTGTTTCCCAACCCCTGACATTCTGTTTTAATGCAACCTGGACTTTGAGATTTTTAAAAGCAGGAGTAGCAACATGTGCAAACCAGTAATATAATTCATACTGTCCCTAGAAATGTCTTTCTTTCGGTATTTACAATGAGCTTCTCTTAGCTCTGATTAAAATAATTGGAAAACTATGACTTTCATCTAGAAGCCTAGGAATACAGATTCCGTATTGTTTTCAGATATATATTTTTTAAAACCACACGACCTGTGAATCTACTTTAAAGTGGTACCAAACTCTAGCATTATTTGTGAGCTATAATGCCTGTCATCAAATGGTCACTCTTGCACCAAATAAACATCGCTTACCTTTTATTGTTATAAGGCAGGTTTTCCCAAATTTCTGGAGGCACATAGTAAGGTGTTCCCACATATGTGCAAGCAAACGCCATCGGACTAAAACCATAAAAAGGCCAAGAATGATTACAGAGCATTCCCGAAAATGGATGCTTTGATTGTCACTACAGCAGAACAGACACACATACTTGGAGAGAAGACGGGCGGATCCAAAGTCTCCCAATTTTACGTTTCCATTTTGGGTGAGGAAGATATTCTGCATTTAAAAAGAAGAACTCAGATTATGCTTTCCATCATTCCAACATGAGGCAGAGGTCCCTAGAGAAGCTGTCTTCCAAAGCCTGCTGATGATGGAGTTTAAGGGTAGAAATGCTGACAGCTGAGCTGAGTGAAACACAAAATGACAAGAACTCCTTGTGACAACCACGTGTCCCCTGCTGAGGAAGTCAGAATGACTGCTTCAAAATCTAGCAGTAAGTTTTAAGTTGTATCAACAGAACCAACTGATTGGGAACCTGTGTCAGGGTGACTCCTTGGAGCAGGCCCAGGTGTCAACAATTTTCCATCTGAGAAAATATGGACTTAGTAAATGGTCACTAAAAGATCTGGGAACATATAAACATATACAGTCATGTGCCGCATAACAAGGTTTGGTCAATGATAGACCACATATCTGATGGTGGTCCCATAAGATTATAGTATCATATTTTTACTGTACCTTTTCAATGCTTATATATACAAATATTTTCCATTGTATAACAGTTGCCTACAGTATTCAGTACTGTACCACGCTGTACAGGCTTATAGCCCAGGAGCAGTGGGCTACACCATATAGCCTAGAAGTGTAGTAAGCTATACCATGTAGGTCTGTGTAAGTTACTCTATGAAGTTCACATAATGACAAAATTGCCTAATGATGGGTGACTGCACTACTATGGAGATTTCAATAACTTTTCTCAGGTAGTGCTTTATCTGGCTAGTATAAATATTAAGTCAGAGGATACAAAGTTTCAGTTAGACAGGACAAATACGTTCCAGAGGTCTACTGTAAAACATGATGACTATAGTTGATAATAATATATAACACACTTGAAAATTGCCAAGGGTAGATCTTAATTGTTCTCACTGCAAAAAAAAAAAAAAAAAAAAAAGATAAATATGTGAAGGGATGGATATGCTTATTAGCTTGATTTAATCATTTTACTGAGAGAGAGTTTGTGTGTGTGTGTGTGTGTGTGTGTGTGTGTGTGTGTGTATCTCAGGACATCACATTGTACACCGTAAATATATATATTCTTTGTCAATTATATCTTTTTTGTTTGAGTTGGAGTCTTACTCAGCTGCCCAGGCTGCAGTGCAGTGGCATGATCAGAGCTCACCACAGCTTTGACATCCTGGGCTCGGGTGATCCTTCTGCCTCAGTTTTCCAAGTAGCTGGGACTACAGGCAAGCACCATCACATATGGCTAAGTTTTTGTACAGACAAGGTCTCACTAAGTTTCAGGCTGGTCTTGGACTCTTGGCCTCAAGCAATCCTCCCAGTTGATCTCTCAAAGTGCTAAGATTACATGCAGGAGCCATCGTGCCTGGCCTTCAATTATATCTTAAAAAGGCTGGGAGAAATTTTTTTTTAAATTTGAAAACTAAATAATAAGTAAATAAATAATTGACAGATATTTCTAAACCAAACAAAAGTGTCCCAAAAGTACATGGATTAACACAGAAAAAGACTGAATTAAATAGCTTTGGGATTCTTTTTCTAAAGCCCCAAAATGTATTCCACTCACCTTGGACTTGATATCTCTGTGTAGCACACGTTTCCTGTGAATGTGATTTACTCCAAGGCACACTTGTGTAAACCAATTAAGTATCTGTAGGAAAAAGCATGCAGAATCTGTGCAATAATTGCTCATGCTAATCCAAAATTCCAGAGAATCATCTCCAGGTCTTAGTTGACCAGGGTTTTACATAATATGAGGACAGAACTACTGAAAATTCCATAGTTCAAATAAGGTTCAGTGTTACCTGGAGAAATTCAGAAAATCTATGATTCTCATGTTCCATAATTTTATGTGTGAACCAAATAGCAATTTATTTTAATAAAACTTCCACTATATTTTTCATTTGTTATAAAAGCATTTCTTAAATACATATATAAAGGTAGTTCACCACTAAGAAATAAATATGCTAGTGTTTCTAGTATAATCATTATGTTGGATTTTCATTTACTTTTTTGGAGTATCCATATGGGAACACGAAAACATTTCATTATATTACAAACAATCTTTTGAGCTCAGCATTTTCTACTTATAAATCCCCAGTCAGTAGTATCCACAATTTCCAGGTACCTTGGGGACTTACAAGTAAAAACTGATTTTTTGGTTTTCAGTTTTTGCTATGGAGACTTATCCAGTTGAAGCCAAAGTTGACTTCCTCCTGTGGAATCAATATTTTTAACAATACAACTTCTAAATAAAGAATATTTATTTATAGCTATTTATACTTGTTCAGAAGATGCTATAGCCTAAGCCCCATTGAAGCTGTTTATTTAAATATTTTCACAAGCCAATTCATTACAAAAATATTTAGTATGAATTTTCCAACAAAAAGGCAGCAAAGCTGGGCTCGGTGGCTCAGCCTGTAATCCCGCGCCTTTGGGAGGCTGAGGTGAGTGATTGCCTGAGCCTGCGGGTTCGAGACCCGCATGGGCAGCGAGACCTCATCTCTACAATAAATCAAAAAATCAGTTGGACGTGGTAGCGCATGCCTGTAATTCCGGCTACTTGGAAGCTGAGGCGGAAGGATCGCCGGAGCCCAGCAGGTGAGGCTGCAGTGGCTGGGAGCGGCCACTGCACTCCAGTCTGGGTGACAGAGTGAGACTCCAACTCAAAAAAAAAAAAAAAAAAAAAAAGGCAGCAAGTTGTAGACTTAAGGAATATTTCTGAAACCCTTCTCATAAAATTAATAAAATAAAATTGCTATGTTTCTAACAAAAGCACAAGTTTTGAGTGGCAACTTACTAAGTATTAACCAGCTTGCCCTATAGCCCATTTCCTTAGTGCTTAGAAGTCACATTGCTCCTGTTATCCAACTTCTATAGGTAACATCTTTAATGTTAAGAAATCTCAAGTTTCCCCTCTAGATCTTTTCCTGATCCTGCGTTACAATGAGTCCACTGATACCCTCAGTCTCAAGACCCGCCCCTGCCCTCAGAAACCAGCCCAGCACAGGAATGCATTTTCATTTCCCTTTCCCATTACTTCACCTCTAACTTCTCAATCAATCCAGCTCCCAGCTCCTCAGCCCCCTACCCAGAAGTCCCTTAGAAACCCCAGTCCAAAATTCCTTGGGGAGACGGATTTGAGGTTCCTTCCCATCTCCCATCTGGCAGCAATCAGGCTGCCAACTGATTACTAAAGTCTTTCTCTGCTATGACTCCCACTGTGTAGGTGTATTGGTCTGTTACCATGCAAGGGGCACAAACCTGGTCCTATAACATTCCAAGCTTTAACAGGAAAAAAACTGAGAGCAGGTATTCCCAAGAAGCACAAATGGCAGGCTTCATTCTTATGATGGTCTAATAACACAAAATAAAATCTACTTGTCTTCTAAAATTTCAGTCCAGTAAAAATCAAGATTTTTAAATATCCAGAATAGTATGATGAGTATTAAAATTTTGAAATTCCTCTAAACATGGAAATGTTGTCCCTTAACACTTTATAACCTATGTAGATTTTCCTTCCTAAAACTATGCCAGGCAGTAACATCCTGAGAACACTAAGCAGTAACACTGACACAGAAATTAGTCATTTCTAACTAGAGTGTCAGGTATTTACAGATACCAATGCTTTTATTTTAACTTATGCAAAGTTTATGAGAAAAGTTGCTTCCAAACCTTGAGGAAAACTGCGTAAGGCAGTCTCTTACCATATCTTCAGGAAATAACTTCCCTTTTTGTTGTTTAATCTTCTGCATTAGATCTCCTCCATCACAATATTCCATCACAATATACAGATGTCCTTCCTCTAAAACAGATACAAGACTCTTTAGGAAAGCCATAGTGGATATACCTCATATTCAGAAATGCCCATATATGGGGGAATTCATATTTACCTTCAAATGACTCTTTAAAGGCAACAATATTAGGATGTTTCATTTTGGCTAACAGAACAGCCTCCTTCCTAGAATTCTGTGTATCAGAGAAAGACTAGAAAAGGATTTTAAATAAGTATAAATGTAATAATTTTTAAATAGATAGCTTTATAATAATACCATTTGTGTGATACTTCAATGCTAGGTGCAGTTCTGTAACAATACACTTTGGATCAATAAGTTTATCAAACTCCAAGAGAAAATATGTGGTTCAATGATGGCTATATCTTGCATACTTGAGCTGATCCCTCTATTGGATTTGTATGTTTTCTTCATTCCTTACATATATAGAATGCAAACTAGTTTTAATATTAGGTTAAGTATTACCTGATTTGGAAAGCTGGTATGCCATCAAAAATAGTATATACTAAATAAAAGATGGCTGGGCACAGTGTCTCAAGCCTAAAATCCCAGCACTTTGGGAGGCTGAGGTGGGAGGATCCCTTGAACCCAGGAGTTTGAGACCAGCCTGGGCAACATAGTGAGACCTCATTTGATGTTGTACACCTGCAATCCCAGCTACTCAGGAGGCTGAAGCAGAAGGATCACCTGAGTCTAGGCAGTTGAGGCTGCAGTGAGCTGAGATCATACCACTGCAGTCCAGGCTGGGTGACACACTAAGACCTTGACTTAAAAAAAAATGTAGTAAAAGGAAAAAAAAAGGGATTTTATGTTTTGACTGTCAGCGTCACTTTATCAGTCCACTGGTCCAGTCCTCTAGAATATGCAAGTATATTACAGCATCAAGTATGAACAAAGATTATATGAAAGTAAGTCTCCAAAGGATAAAATTCTTTTTTTTTTTTGAGTTGGAGTCTCACTCTGTCGCCCAGACTGGAGTGCAGTGCTCGCTCCCAGCCACCGCAGCCTTGGCCTGCTGGGCTCCAGTGACCCTTCTGCCTCAAGCTTCCAAGTAGCTGGAACTACAGGCATGCACTACCACGCCCAGCTAATTTTTAAAAAAATTTATTGTAGAGATGAGGTCTTGCCAAGTTGCCCAGGCGGGTCTCGAACCCGCAGGCTCAGGCAATCCACTCACCTCAGCCTCCCAAGGCATGGGATTACAGGCTGAACCACCGAGCCCGGCTAGCAATCTGTGTTTTAACAAGCCCTCCAGATGATTATAATGCCCACTCAAGTTTAAAAATCACGGAATGAGGTCAAGACTACAGTAGGGAAAATACTTAGCACTCTGAGAACTCTAATATATTTTTCTTTTTTATAGAGATGGAGGGCTCATTATGTTGCCCAGGCTGGTCTCGAACTTCTGGCTTCAAGAGATCCTCCTGACATAGCCTCCCAAAGTGCTGCGATTACACGTATGAGCCACTGTTCTTGGTAAACTCTGAGAACTTTATTAGAATGCATTTTTTCAAAATTTGATCATAATATTATGCAGCCTCTATGGCATGGATTCCATCCTAGGACAAATATGATACACAGCAATAAATGACCTACAGGGAAATAAAACTTATAAACTGATCCACAGAGTAGTTTCCCTGATACCAAAGGTTAGCATTTTAGGACTTTGTTCTTTGATCTCTTAGCAAAGATTTCCTACAGTTATATGAAAGTGGAAATTATTACCAATTACTCATTGAGATAAACAGTAATAGCCACCGAAACCTTAACCACTTTTCTCCTTTTACTAATCATAATATCCTAAGAACCACATAAAGTATATCAAGTTCTTGTAAAGCTAATGAATAAACCAATTACACCTTTCGCAGGGAGGAGAAATTCCATGTGAAACCTAAAAAATTTATTCTCTTATACAAAGTGCAGTACACTTTCAAGGTGAGCTAATTTCTTTAGCAGTGACCTTGGGAAGCCTTATTTCTTTCATGGCAAACATCCAATTACTGCATTCCTGCTGAACCAACAGCACTCTGCCAAAGGAGCCCTCTCCGATCACTCTCAGGACTGCGTAGTCATCCATGCTGGGCACCCACACAGCTGGGCTCCACTCATGCGGTCACCACGGGCTCTCCCAAACTACATCCCAAAACAGAAACATTTGAGAATTACGTTTACTTTCAAAATGCAGAATTAATTCAAAGTAGCTCTAGACACCATGATAAGGCAGTAGCTATTTATTCCTTTTGAAGGGGATCGGTGTATACCACCCGAAGCAATGTCACTTTGGCACAAGGTCTGTTTTGAGCTAAAAGCAATTTGCTCTTTACCCTCCTTTTTTTGCTTAAATGCAGGGCATAGATTTTCCTCTGTACAGGTAATACATTTCCAAACATAAATGTGTTTTCCTTTCCAGTACAAGAAGAGGGCAGCTCTTACTAATGGAGAAGGCACTAACTTGAGTTTGTATAACAAACCTTACTAAATAATCCTTATCTTCTGTTGGTTTCCTTCATATATTTAGTTGCCTACAATTGACCCGAGAAGCCCAACCTTTCCCCTTCCTTTTTCTAGTTTCTGCTCCTAATATATCACTTTGTTATAATGGCATTATCAGCCGCCTAGTCTAAGTGCTTCCTTACATTTATGCATACATAATAAAACTTCTCCTGTTAATCTGTCTTTTGTCAGTTTAATTTCTAAGGCCTTATGTACTGAACCTAAGAGGGTAGAGGAAAAAAGTTTTTTTCTCTACTACTCTATTAATTCAATATAGGTGGATACTCAGCACCAACTCTGAGCCAGATGTTATAATCCCAAACAAATCCCCCACAGCCCCTGCCATCATGGATGTCTCAAGCAGAGATGACCATAAACTTCAACAGATGTAGAATCATGAGTGGTACAGAAAGAGCTATACGGGCCTGCAGCAGAAATATCCAGGGGAGTTCAAAATAATGGTATTTAAACTAAAGCATGAAGGATGAGTGGAAATAGGCTAGACAACACGGGTTGTGTGTGTGGTTTTTAATTTGATTTTCTGGGTGGTGGGTGTGTGGCGGGATGGGGTAACACATGGGGAAGAAGGAAAGATTCGTGTTCCAATCTGGACACGTTGAGCTGGAGGTTCCTAGGACTCAAAAGAGATGTTAAACACAGTTGGAGTATTTGACTTCAGTATTCCCATTTATATGTCCAGAATGAAGCAGCTAGTAGAAACGCTTAATACACAAGAAAAAGTGAACATAATCTTCTTAACACTTTGCCTGGTACGTGGAGATCCTGGATATATGGCCGCTACTATTATTATTAAAGCCTTAGAAAGGTGATGCATTAAAAAAAAAATTTAGCCCATGTCTATTCAAGGTCTCAAAAAATATTACTGATTCCCAACTGTTCCACTCCACAGGAATCGTTAGATGAAAGAGGTATTTGTGGAGAAAAGGGAAGATGATGACAGAACTGGATGGAATATGTGAGTTTCTTCATGGGTGAGTGTGCATAAGGACGAATCTGCCTGCATATTAGTGTGCAATGAGAGGAGACACATGATCAAGCACCCAGGGCTCCTCTGCAGAAGTGGCTGCAATTTACCACTGCTCAGAATTTGGCACCCTCACGTGCAGGAGCACGCACCATTCTCAGGGCATCTCTCGGGAAAAGGAGCAGAGATCAGCTGCCCCTCAGTACCTGGCACCTGACCCAACTTCACCATCTATGGCAATGGGCCAGGCACTGGCAGAGGGGACCATGGAGAAAATGCAGGGAGGAAATCTGAAGCTGGGCCCTGCCAGAGGAGAAGATGTGGGCCACGACCATTTTCTCTGTCCCGGAACCTGGGCAGAGAGACCGGCCTAACACCCAATACTGAGCAGCCTGCATCCTGAGACTGAAGGGCGATCTCTGTGCCTTTCTGAATCAACCATCGTTGGCCCTCCAAGTGCACGACACCGGAGTGCCACCACCAGCTTGGAAGTTCCCTAGCCCCCACACTGAGCCATTCACAAGCATATGCAACCAGAGTGGGAGACCTAACAGCAGATGAGTAGGAGTGAGTCTTGATCTGATTCATTCCCCCTCCTCCAGCAGTCCACAGGGCGTATTACTTGTGTGGAGAGAGGCCTGATTGGCCTGCACTAAGAGCAGAGGGGAGGGTTTAGAAACTGGAGTTCACTCCTTCCCCCTAGGAGCCAAAAACAGCAGTGCTTAGACTATGCCGGTTAAAAAAGAAAAAAAAGAAAAGGAACCAGAAGTTCCAGAAATGGCCATAAGTGAGAACTCAAGATTCACAAAAGTTTTGATGTTTTATACATATCTTTCTGTGTGTGTCTTCTGATTTGATTTGGCCCTTTTCTTCTCCTCTTTTTTTTGCATATGGGTATATGTGAGGGTGAGTGTATTTTCTTTTTTGTTTGTTTGTTTATATGTGCATTTGCCTGTCTGTTTGTTTTCCTTTTTTCTTCTTCTTTCTCTTCACCTTCCTTTCTTCTCCATTCTTTCTTTCTCGGTTCTTTTCCTTTCTTTTATCTCATTTTGGTTTCAGGGGGTATACAAATGCTCCCACTGCATGGACATATTGTAAGGTGGTAGGAAATGGGTTCCAGGATTCTATACCCTAGTCAGCAGATACTGCGATCTGCAGGTAGCTTCTGAACTGTAGCTTTTACCATTACACCGTAATCAAATCTCAGAAATGGAAAAAGACAGCAGAGGCCTCCACTCTCAACTCAGCTTCAAAACTGAACAAATCCAGAGACTCTACCTAAGGAAGAATAGGAGGTTGAACAAACAAAAGTGAAAGCTATCCCCCTCCCACTGAGCAACAGAATTAAAGAAAAGAAGGGGGAGGAAATCTGTCACAAATGAAGAAAAATCAATGGAAGAACACAGGTACCCCCTAGGCCCCTGGAAAGACAGCAGCACCTGAGAATACAGACTCAAACTCAAACAATGAAGAGCCCACAGAGGGACTGGTCTCAAACCACAAATCCAGATATCAAGGTATTGATAGAGAGGATGAATAAAAATGAAGAATGCCAAGAAGAAAGAATGAAAGAGTTGATAACTGAGATGACAGCAATAAAAAATACAGTAAATGAAATAAATAACAAACTGACAAGCATGGAAAGCAGAATTAGCCAAACAGAAGAAAGGATCTCAGAGCTTGAAGAACCAAAATGTGGAACTAACCCAAACTGTTAAAAACATAGAAATGAAGTTTAAAAGGATAGTACAAAGCCTCTAAGAGATGTACGATTATAATAAAAGACTGAACTTACACATGATTGGAATTCCTAAGGCAAAAAGGGAGACAGAGAACACCTTGGAACAAACATTCCGTGAGGCTATCCAAGAAAATGTCCCTCATCTCATCAGAGACAGGACCATCCAAACACAGGGGATTCAGAGAACCCCTACAAGGTGTCAAATGAGAAGACAGACTCCCAGACACATAGTAATTTGCTTGCACAAAGTAAGTATAAAAGAAAAAAATCCTTAAGGCAGTAAGAGAGAAAGGTCAAACTACCTACCAGGGAAGACCAGTTAGAATCGCAGCAAACTTATCTATAGATACACTACAAGCTAGAAGAGACTGGATTCCAATATTCAAAGTATTCAAAGATAAACAATTCCAATCAGGAATTTCCTATCCAGGTAAGGTAAGCTTCATCAGTAACAGAGAGTTAAAATGTTTCCCAGACATCCAATCCCTAAGAGAATATGCTGCTTCTAGACCAGCTCTACAGTAGATGCTTAGGAAGGTATTAAACACAGAAGAAAGAAAAAAAAAAGAATGACCCCTCACTTCCTAAGGCAACAGGAAAACACAGAATCATCAGAGATTACATTGGAACTGCAAAGTTGAAAACTCACACATACATCAACCCAGAAGTTAAAAGAAAAACAAGCAAAAAAACTTTATAAGAGTTTCATGACAGGAATAAACTCTCACATCTCAATAGTCAGTCTGAGTGTAAATGGACTAAATATACCACTGAAAAGACATAGAATGGCAAAGTGGATAAAAAAGCACAACCCAGCAATATGCTGCCTCCAGGAAATACATCTCACTACAAAGGACACCCACACACTCAAAGTTTAAGGATAGAAAACAAACTTTCAGGTGAACAGAAAACAAAAGAGGCAGGAGTCGTGATTTTAATATCAGACAAAACAACATTTAAGCTATCAAAAATTTCAGAAGATATGGAAAGACATTACATAATGATAAAAAGTTCAATTCATCAACAAGAAAGATCCACCCTAAACATACATACACCCAACACAGGAGCACCTGGATTTGTAAAGCAACGACTAAGTAAACTAAAAAAGGATACTGACTCTAACACTATTATAACTAGGGACTTAAATTTACCCCACTAACAACTATAGATAGATCACTGAGGCAAAAAATCAATAAGGAGATCTAGAACCTTAACTTGACACTTAACCAAATGGACTTAATAGATATCTACAGAGCACTCCACCCAACCACCACAGTGGAATAAAAATAAATATCACAACCAACTAAATCTCCCCAAAACAAAGACATGTACATTAAATAGTACAATGCTGAACAACTCCTGGGTCAACCAAGAAATCAAAACAGAAATTAAGGGATTCTTGGAAACAAATAAAAACAAGGACCCAGCTTTACCAAAACTTCTGGGATGCCATGAAAGCAATACTAAAAGGGGAATTTATATCTCTATGAACATACATAAATAAAATAGAAATCATAAGTCAACAGCCTAACAAATAATTTAAGGGAGCTGGAAAGGCCACCAAAATCCTAACTTCAGCAGAAGATTCCAGATCACCAAAGTAAAAGACCAAATATAAGACATAGAAGACAAAAATATCACAGAAAAAGAAATCAATGAAAGACCTGGGTCTTGAAAGGATAAACAAGATTGATGGACCTCTAGCCAGACTGACCAAGAAAAAGAGAGAAAAAGTCCAAATAAACACAATCAGACAAGTAAACGATCAGGTCACAACCAACACCAAAGAAATACAAAATATTATCAGAGATTACTATGCACACCTGTATGGAAACAAATTCAAAAACCTAAACAAAAGCGGAGGACTTTCTGATATCACACAGCTTTCCAAGGCTGAAACAAGAAGAAACTGAGATATTAAACAGACCAATAACAACCCAGGAAATTGACTCTCCATAAGAAAACTACATACAAAAAAAAGTCCTGAAACAGACGGCTTTCAAGCAGAATTCTACAAAACATACAAGGAGGAGCTGATATCCCATTCAAAGTATTCCAGACTATCAAGAAAGACAGAACTCTCCCCAAATCATTTTAGGAAGCTAACATCTCATTGACACCCACACTGGGCAAAGATCCAACAAAGAAAGAGAACTACAGGCCAATATCCCTGATTAACATAGATGCGAAAATTCTCAACAAGATTCTAGCAAATCAGATACAACAACACATCTAAAAAATTATCTACCATGACCAAGTAGGCTTCACCCCCAAGATTCAGGACTGGTTTAACATCAGCAAGACCATAAATGTAATTAAATACATCAATAGAGGTAAAAACAAGAACTGCATGATTATATCATTAGACACAGAAAAGGCTTTTGACAAAATCCAGCATCTATTCTTGATAAAAAACCCTTGAACACCTAGGTATGGGGGAATATACCTCAAAATAGTGATAATCCCACAGCCAACATATTACTAAATGGACAGAAATTAGAAGCATTTCCCCTGAAAACTGGAATAAGACAAGGCTGCCCACTCACCCCTCCTGTTCAACATAGTGTTGGAAGTCCTAGCTAGAGCATTCAGACAAGAAAAGGATATCAGGGATATCCAAACAGGAAAAGAAGAAGTTAAGCTATTCCTTTTTGCAGATGATCCATCATCTGCAAAAGAAACCATCAAGAAAGCGGAAAAGACAGTCCACAGAACGGGAAAAAACATTTTTCAACTGTATATCTGACAAAGACCTAACATCCAGGATCTACAAGGAACTGAAATGTGCCAAAAGGAAAAAGACAAACAACTCCGTTAAAAAATGGGTAAAAGACATGAATAGATACTTCTTAAAAGAAGATATACGAACAGCCAACAGACATGAAAAATGCTCAGCCTTACCAGTCATCAGAGAAATGCAAATCAAAACCACATTGAGATACCACCTAACTCAAGTAAGAATGGCCATCATTAATAAATAAAAACAACAGATGTTGGTGAGATTGTGGAGAAAAGGGAACACTTCTACACTGTTGGTGGGAGTGCAATCTAATTCAACCTTTATGGAAAACAGTGGCAATTTCTAAAAGAACTACAAATTGACTTTCCATATGGCCCAGTAATCCCCCTTCTGGGAATATACCTGGAGGAACTCAAATCATTCTACAAAAAACATACCTGTTCATGTATGTTTATTGCAGCACTATTCACAATAGCAAAAACATGCAACCAACCATGCTGACTATTGAAATTGGACTGGATTAAAAAAAAAAAGGTATGTATACACAATGGAATATTATGCAACCATAAAGAAGAACAAAATTGTGGACTCTGCAGCAACTGGGATGAATTTTGAGTCTATCATCATTAGTGATCTATTGCAGAAACAAAGAACTGAGTACCATGTTCTCACTCATAAGTGGACCCTGAGTGACCCTGAGCACCTTTCATACTACTACAAAAAAGGGATTGGCAGTAGCCAGACACCGTCAGGGGAGGCAGGGGGCAAACACATAACATCAGTAAGGGAACCTGATTCTAATCCAGGCTAAGTGATGTCCAATGGGAGGCCCACTTCACCTGTAAACCACTTATGTATCCAATCCTGGCTTGTGCTCCACAACTTAAAATAATAATAATAACCTTGGCATCTTCCTATAATAATAACAGGTTCTGAAATCTGACAGATCTGGATACATCTTGAGATATATTAGCTATGGGACTTTGGACAAATTACTGAAGCTGTGTAAGCCTTCTTTTCCTGATTAATAAAATAAGTTTTTTTTTTTAAAAAAAGGAAGAAGTATTTGTTCTTGAAGAGAAACCAGAGCATGATGCATTTTTTTTTTTAATTACAGGAATGAATTTACTTGATTTTTCAAAAAGCTTACTACAGTATACATTTTTTTATCACACCACAAAGAATTCTAAGGCATTATAATGATAGTTATATGTGATTTTATGTAAATATATGCAATTATAAGCACATGACAAGTAAAGCCAAAATCACAAACTAAAATCTTTCATACCGTGAAGTGTAAAACTTCCAGTTTGTATTCCTGCTTATCATAGAATTACCAGGAAATCCTAGAAATAATTTACCCATGTAACCAAATCACATGCATTGTCTTGAAAAACAATTCTTTCCAAAAGCAATTAGGCCCTTGATGTATATTTAATACGCATGAAAAAAACAAGTTCTCTACCACTATTCCAAGGGACTCGGGTATGACTTGATTTAACAAAGAAGCCAAGTTTCCCCGTGTCTATCCTTCGTTTCTTCGGGGCCTTTATTCCATGCGATGGAGAGTAACTGACCAGCATGTGCAACCAGGCTTTTCTTAGCCGAAAACCAATTGGATCCCTTCTGCCCACATCTGCTGGTGACTCAGTATTACACACACAAGATCACTGCAAGACCCGAATAGACTCTGAATGGGGCAAAAGGGCATCGGTCCCTTCGCAAGACCGTCACAATAAAGTTAAATAAATAAATGAAAACCTAATAAAATGATTTGCAAAGAAATCAGCCAATACTTACTAAACTGATTTGCAAACACCCAGAAGTGGGGTTGCCGGTAAGACACGGGCTAAGTTTAGCCAACCGCCCCACGGCGGACACTCTTCATCCGATCCACCCGCGACCAGACCCTCCCCGCAAACCC